TCACAAAAAAATGAAAGTCGAAGCTCTCCAACTGTGCGAGAAGTCCTGCTTTTGCTCGCCTTTCCGGATGCTGCGTGTGGTTCATGATGTCAACTACAGCGTTTAAAGCAGCTGCTCCAAATGACTGAAGCCCTTCTTCCACCCCTGTGTTCGTTCTTTCTCATGCATATACGGCTCCCACAAACGCCGCAAGGTGGACTTGCGGCGTTTGCGGAGAACAATTATGAGGGGCACGCACTTTGTCAAGTTCGTTAACCTAGTGCATTTTTCCCACTACACACGCACATTGGTTCACGCAAGTCTGTAAAAAAATCGTTATGTTGCCCAAGTCGGCAAATTAAAAAAAAATTCTGAAAGTTGAGTGGGTGAACTGTTAGAAAGTGCTGGGTCCTTGAGAAATGAATTTAACATGCCAAAATCGATGACCGAAAAGCCTCGACCATCGGTGATTGATTAGAATAGGTGTGGTAACGAAGGAGTTAAATCATCATCATCATCATCATCTTGACTACCTCCACTGCAAGACGAAGGCCTCTCCCATGTTCCGCCAGATAAGCCGGTCCTGTGCTTGCTGCTGCCAATTTATACCTGAAAACTTCTTAATCTCATCTGCCCACCTAACCTTCTGTCTCCCCCTAACCCGCTTCCCTTCTCTGGGAATCCAGTTAGTTACCCTCAATGACCAGCGGTTATCCTGTCTACACGCTACATGCCTGGCCCATGTCCATTTCCTCTTCTTTATTTCAACCATGATATCCTTAACCCCCGTTTGTCCCCTAATCCACTCTGCTCTCTTCTTGTCTCTTAAGGTTACACCTACCATTTTTTTTTCCATTGCTTGCTGCATCGTCCTCAATTTAAGCTGAACCCTCTTTGTAAGTCTCCAAGTTCTGCTCCGTAGCTAAGTACCGGCAAGATACAGCTGTTATATACCTTCCTCTTGAGGGATAGTAGCAATCTACCTGTCATAATTTGAGAGTGCTTGTCGAATGCGCTCCACCCCATTCTTATTCTTCTAGTTATTTCAATCTCGTGGTTCGGCTCTGCGGTTATTACCTGCCCTAAGTAGACATAGTCTTTTACAACTTCAAGTGCACTATTACCTACCTCGAAGCGCTGCTCCTTGCCGAGGTTGTTGTACATTACTTTCGTTTTCTGCAGATTAATTTTAAGACCCACCTTTCTGCTCTCCTTGTCTAACTCCGTAATCATGAGTTGCAATTCGTCCCCTGAGTTACTCAGCAATGCAATGTCATCGGCAAAGCGCAGGTTACTAAGGTATTCTTCATTAACTCTTATCCCTAACTGTTCCCATTCTAGGCTTCTGAAAACCTCCTGTAAGCACGCGGTAAATAGCATTGGGGAGATTGTGTCCCCCTGCCTTACACCCTTCTTGATTGGTATTCTGTTGCTTTCTTTATGAAGCACTATGGTAGCAGTTGATCCTCTGTAGATTTCTTCCAGAATGTTTATATATACTTCATCTACGCCCTGATTCCGCAGTGTACGCATGACGGCTGATATTTCTACTGAATCAAAATCCTTCTCGTAATCTATGAAGGCTATGTATAGTGGTTGGTTATATTCTGAGCATTTCTCTATTACCTGATTGATAGTATGAATGTGGTCAATTGTTGAGTAGCCTGTTCGAAATCCTGCTTGTTCCTTTGGTTGATTGAATTCTAATGTTTTCTTTACTCTGTTAGCAATTACCTTTGTAAATAGCTTGTATATTACAGAGAGCAAGCTGATCGGCCTGTAATTCTTCAAGTCCTTGTCATCTCCTTTCTTATGTATTAAGATGATGTTAGCGTTCTTCCAAGTCTGGTACTCTTCCCGTCAGGAGACATCTTGTAAACAGGGTGGCCAGTTTTTTAACACAATCTGTCCTCCATCTTTCAGCAGATCTGATGTTACCTGATCCTCACCAGCAGCTTTGCCTGTTTGCATGCTCTCCAAAGCTTTTCTGACTTCTATCATTACTGGTGGGGTGTCATCTGGGTTACTGCTAGTTCTTATAGTATTAAGGTCGTGGTTGTCTCGGCTACTGTACAGATCTCTGTAAAACTCCTCCGCTATTTTAACTATCCTATCCATATTGGTAATTATTTTGCCTTCTTTGTCCTTTAGTGCATACATTCGACTTTTGCCTATCCCAAGTTTCCTCTTCACTGCTTTGACGCTTTCTCCGTTTTTCAGAGTGTGTTCAATTCTCTCCATGTTATACCTTCTTACATCGCATACCTTATGCCTATTATTCAACTTTGAAAGCTCTGCCAGTTCAATTTTGTCTGTTGTACTTGTGACTTTCATGATTTGACGCTTCTTAATTAGGTTCTTCATTTCCTGGGAAAGCTTGCCAGTGTCCTGTCTAACTACCCTGCCTCCAACTTCCACTGCACGCTCCGTAATGATACTCGTCAGTTTATCATTCATTGTATCTACGCAAAGGTTGGTTTCCTCACTAAGAGCCGAGTACCTGTTCTGAAGCGACACTCTGAATTCCTGTACTTTCCCTCTCAGTGCTAGCTCATTGATTGGCTTCTTGCGTATCAGTTTCTGTCGTTCCTTCCTCAAGTCTAGGCGAATTCGAGACCGTACTATTCTATGGTCGCTGCATCGTACCTTGCCAACCACTTCCACATCTTGCACGATTCCTGGGTGTGCACTCATTATAAAGTCTATTTCGTTCTTATTTTCGCCATTAGGGCTCCTCCATGTCCACTTGCGGTTTTCGGTAGAAGGTATTTAAAATCCGTAAATTATTGCGTTGTGCGAATTCTACTAGGAGCTCTCCTCTGGCGTTTCTAGTACCGATGCCATAATCTCCTACTGCCTGGTCTCCAGCCTGCTTCTTCCCTACCTTTGCATTAAAGTCGCCCATCACTATAGTATACTGTGTTTTTACCTTACTCATTGCTGATTCCAGGTCTTCATAGAATGCCATGATGGCGCTTCAGTTGAAAACTTCTATGAAGACGTGGAATCATAAAGAGTTAAAAGGGCCCTCCAACACACCATGTTTTACTTGTGGGTTGTATAGGCTCAAGTACAGACAGACTAGTGCAGCAAAAGCGGCAGTGATAGCGGCACGCAATCTGTAGTTATTCAACTTAAAAAATTCTAAATACAAGAAAACGAAATGCTGACCCTCAACTTGATTTTCGCAGGTTCGCTTCACCACATTTCACTCGCCCGTGACGTCGTAGCGCTGCCCCAATGAAAGAAACTGGAAGCGCTTGCATAGGAGAAGCTCGCACCCCATTGTTGCTCTTTTTTAAAGTAATGTTGACTGTTGCCACAATAACAAACGTGGTGCCTGACTTGCCAGAATGTGAGCAGGAGCTACTGTGTCAAAGTGACGTATTTCCTGCTGTTTTTTAGAACATTCCACTTCACTTCCTCCACTATTCTAAGAAAGGGACTTGTGGAATGACCAGGGCAGGGAAGTGTTGTTGACCCTTCGCACATTGTTTAATGAGCCACCCAACAAACAACAATGGTGCACTGCACCCCTTGAACAGCGCACATGTGGAAAGAGACAGCTCCCAAACTCCCAACAGCAAGAAGAAGGAAGAAAGAGAGAAAGGTCTTTCGTATTAACATCCGACCCCCGCAAGCCATAAGTTTAGTGGCGAAATGGCAGCCACGGTTTCTGTCATGCTTTGTAGTCACAGTGATATTTTTTGTTCTGGCTGCGTTTGTTCAGGGTCTGATGAAAAACACAGAGAAGAAAAATCAAAGAGATTAGTTACTTCTTTTTTTACCCTAAAGCACGATGACTTCTAACACCATCCTGTCATACGGCAGCACCCTTCTGATGTCATTTCCGCCCGCAAGGTTCTTGCGAGCACCACTATGTGATGATGCGATTGGCAGCAATGTAGTGACTTTAGTGCATGATTAAAACAGTAAATCATCTCATGTTGGCGCTTAGACCTATACTAAAATGATCTCCAGCTATCGGTCTATGCAAACCACAAATAAGAAATATCTGCTTCAATAATGTTGGAGGGCCTCTTTAAGGCTGCTCCAAAGCACCGTTTTTTTTTTTTTTTGCTCCAGAATCTGCTCCGAAAAGCAAAATGTTACTTCCATCTCTGGGATTATGCAAGATATCGGTATTAAAAGCATTGACACCTTCGACGAACATCTAATAGTGCTCTAACGAACTTGAGTCGTTCAGACTCGGATAGAACGTGCAACTGAGGGAGTTCAGGTGAGCAATATGTTGGCGAGTTGGAGGCCGAGAGAGTTTGACTGAGCAAAGCTTTGGTGAGTATGAGTTCGAGTGAGTCCGGTTGAGGAAAACATCGGTGAGTGTGAGTCCGAGTGAGCCATAAGGGCGAGGCTTTTTTCATGAGTGGTGAGCTCTACATTTTTTTGCCGACCTATGGTTAAGAAAGTGCTAGAAGGGGAAGATGGAAAAATCCATGAACGGGGGTTGTTGACATTTCAACTAGTAGACTTGTCTCCCCAAGGTGAGACAGCACTGTTGCAGGCTTGAATAAGACAAGTCCGCTGGTTGACACGGCGGCTCAAGCACGCAACCCCTGTTTACAGATTTTTTTATACACTAGTTGCCTGATATAATTGTTTGAAGAAGAACGGCTATTTGGGCTAGTTGGTTGGAATTCATCATAATAAGGGCTGCAGCGCGAGCACGAAGGTGCTAGAAGAAAAGTGAAACGAAAGGCGAGGCAAGGAAAGCAAGTGTTGTCCTTTTTGCTTTCCTTGCCTTGCCTTTCGTTTCACTTTTCTTCTAGTACCTTCGTGCTCGAGCTGCAGCCCTTATTATATAATTGTTTCTATAATTTAATTACAACGTATTTGAAAAATAATCATTCAACTTGCACTTGGCTTGCTTTGCACTGAAAATGTTGCTTTTTGCTGAGCAGCATGCACAATGGGACATTGTGTGCGTGGTGGCCAAAAAGAGAAAAGAAGGTAGCTAGAGTGCTATGCTTGAATTGCCCTGTGGCCATCGTGTGTGTGTGCAGGAACACCCCAGCGTCTAGCAGTGAGCGGCTTCTCTCTGGTAAGTCAATGTGCTTCTGGGTCTTCGATTTTTACTTCCTGTATTATTTGTGGTGTCAATAACAGGGGGAAGTGTTGTGCCCGTGTGGCAACACTACGAAGGCCTCTAATACTCTGCGTAGGCGGTCACAAGGACAGCTGTGCTGTGAAGACAGCCTTGGAGGCAGATAGGATGCAGGCTACTTGACTCCCCAAGCAAGATGACAGCTTAGCGAAATGCTTATTTTTCAGGCACTATTGTTTGCCTGCAAGCAGACACTTTATGAGAACTAACAGACAATAATGCCAAAGAAAGTATAGGGGATGTTGTTAGTAGTATTTGTACAGTCGTCGGCGGTTTATTCGGATGCTGAAAATTTAGACATGCTCTTTTAAAAAGACACCTTTTCTGCACCACCACTTGTCCTATTGAAGTAACGTAATTTCACGATCGAAAATTTATATGCCCCACGGTGCACCATTATATTTTTCCAGCTTCTTGATCGAGTGAGACATTAAACCTCGTGAGAAGCTATTCGCAATGTTCAGAATATTTTCGCTAGGCTGCCAGCACTGAAAGATTGTGTGCACGCACAACCTTTCAGTCCAATGTATCATAGTGCTGCCCATTCATTGTTTGGACTTCTGCGTCCCCTGGTAAACTAGCCATTGCATGTAGGTTTTTTGCTTTTGAGACACAATCGAATCTGAATGCGTGAAATCCACACTTGCGAGGCACGATTGAGTTCAATCTGTTGATTGTAGAACGGAACGTACAGCGAAAGAAGGGGCTTCTGACTTTCGCAACACACAGGGGCTGTGAGGCATAACAGCTGGTTTACAGACCCAAGGTGTCTGCCAACCTGGAAAGCCTGGAGAAGTCAGGGAATTCATACCCTGTTTGAACACTGAGGGAAAAGTATGGGGGAGTCTAGAAACCTAGCCGTGTCATTATGGAAAGTGACGGCAGTCTGTGTGACTGTCACGGAAATAAGCATTGCTACTGATCAAAGCTTAAAAAGTTGTTCCTTCGGCTGTAGGCACAATGGACAGCATGAAGAGGCCTGAAAAACAAAAAAAGAAAAACAAAAGACTATTGTTTTCTAGCGTAAATGGGTAAGTATACACTGATAAAAAGAACACAAAGTTTACTGATGTTTCGGCATCCGATACGGGAGCTTATTTCACAATAAAACTCATAGGAAAGGCACAGAGTATTTAGGTATGCCTAAGTACATGACGTAAGCACCAAGACTACATTGTCAAAAGTGCCACATCACTCCTGTTTAGCGTAGGTGCAGTTTGCATGCAGGGATTCCATGTGCGGGCATGGTGCAAGCTTCTTTTCTTTGGGCAGAACACGTGCCTTGACCAGTTAGCTCGGTGGCCTGTAAATTCCACATGTTTAGCGAGGGCATTCCAGGCCACGAGTAATTTTGTGATGTCATATTCGTGTGATTTAACTATTTTCTTGAAATTACCGGTCTCACCAATGTACTGGTTGTCACAATCGTGGCAGCTATGACATAAACAAGACTGGGAAAATTTCCGTTCAGTAACTTCTCTTTTATGTTGACTAAAGCATTCCTTAGCTTCTATGTTGGTACATGCACCATTTTGATGCCTGTTGCTTCTACATATCACACAGCATATCCGACTTTCCTAGCCATCTCATAATAAGATTACGTACTACATAAGGAACAGGCAAAAAAGAGTGTTCTACACTCGGCATAATGTAAATAGGGGGCATTTTTACGTCTAAATGCACACACATACCTCATAAAGTGGACGGGTGGATGACTGCCATTGTAGCTAAGTGGTAAAGCATCGAACACGTTATTCGGAGATTGCATGTTTGCATCCTGCCTGTGACTAGTTATCTTTTCGTCTACTTTTCTTTCTTCACGTATACAACACAGTTACTTCTAACGACATCTCCAATACTTTCCCTGGCACTATTGTCAGTTCTCATGAATATTGTGTCTAACAAAGAAAACGAGCCCTTAAATTTACGCTTTCCATCATGTAAGTGCAGCGTTACTCACGTCAGTTAATTTGTGCATGTTTGTCTCTGCCACGATTTCGGCTCGGTTCAAAGGCCTTCTGGTTGGGTTAGAACTGCCATCAGCAGAGACTTGCCAGGCTGTGTCACGCCTTGTTTTATTATTATGATTACTATTATTATTATTGTTAAAGCAAAGGTGAATGTCCTCAACTAAGCATTTATTGCTGGTAGCTCGCGTTTCAAGGGTAGCACAGGGTAACTTCAGCTAAATTTCTCATTCCAGTTTCTTGAGATGGTGCTACATAATCTGTGATTACTTTTTAGTGTCACGTCCTTAGAACAGTTCGTAGACGAATAGAACTCGGTGGCATTCGTGATTTATCTATGGAATCGAGAGAGGTGTTGCGACCTGATAGATTACCGCTTGCCATCACATACTTGTTATTGCTTTAAACGTTACTCCTAGCTTTCATTGCAGGAATCGTAAGACTTTCGTCATTCTCCAAGCATAAGAGCCCAGAGAAATAAAACATAAACATGCATGCGCCTGTATAAAAATGAGAAGGGGGAATTTCGAATATGGATATGTTCTTATGATATCGTTAGTAGTCAGAGCAGGCTACACACGTCGTGCTCCTTGTGCGTGGTGCAATAAAAAAACGGGCCACAAATTCTGAAAAGCATATACAACTTTTTAAAGAATGTCACTGCGCACCAAGCGGACCATGCCAAACCCATTGAAGGCTAGTCCTCCCTAAAGTGGCCAAATATGTTGACCGCACCAAGAGAGGACAGAAAGCTGAAACCTGTGGCTCATCTCGAGGTGGCTGTGGCAAACCAGATGCTGTCGGTAAAGCTGGCCTTCATGCTGTCAGTTTCAGAAGAATTGGAGCCATTTTTGTTGGTGTTTCAGACTGTGCGGTCTTGTGTTGCAAGAGCACTAGATGGCCTGTTGTGGTCACTTATGGGATGAATCGTGCTAAAAGAAAAGCTGGATGCCGCAGCGACATCCTTCAAACTGATGAAAATTGAGAAACCGAACAACATTATTGGTGTAGCTACCTTCGACATAGGCCTTGTTGCCAAAAGTCGTGAACTTTGAAAGATCACTCAATCACCACACACTGCAGCTGTAAGTGTAAAAAAGAGAATACATCTTATTCATTAAGGCCTGTTCAGCCGAGATAATTGAAAGATCACCTCTGAAGTACAAGTTGACATATGGGACCATTTGCTTGAACCCGGCATTTTGTGCCAGTGTTGTAAAAGCTGGCCAGAAGCAACTGAGCATTGCACTGAAAGTGCTTATGGAGCACGCACATTTTTCAGGCCTACAAGTAGACAGGGCAAGTCCATTGCATCTGCAAGTGTTCCCAAACAGCACTGCGCAAGTGCGTTTGCAAAATTGCGATCGCACAAGAGAGTGCTTGAAAGCATTGTGGGTGGAACTCTGTTCAAGTTCTCACGAAGAGGTACGACTGTTTGGGGAGATGGTGCTTTGCCTTTCTCAGCGGAGCGAGGATTTTTGGCAAATAAGGAATTTGTTGGGTAAAATATGTTGTAGCACAAAGGTCAGTGTACGATTAAGTGTCTGCAGAAGGTGGTGTCGGAAAAGTGGGCGTCACAGACAGTATGACTGACATCAAATAAGAAGAAGAATTTTGGAGGGGAAAAAGAAAAAAATGGTTGGGCTTATCAGATGCTGAAAGGAACTAGAGAAGTTTTGCAGCTTGTGAAGGAGCTTGAATCAGAAAAACAAAAGCTGACGAAAGACGTTCAACTTCAGGTATCTAAGCTGCAACAAGAGATCGGATGTTTGAAGTGGTCAAACTATTGCCAATGCAAATTAACAAGCTTTTGTGTTGTGTCTTTTAATATTTTATTCGGTGTAAAGGGTGCTTTCAGACAAAAGAATGTAATAAAGCGTCATGGTTTCCATTTTATATGAGTGCCTGATGTATTTTTTTTTTACCACTCAAGGTCGTTTCCAGTGCACAGAGTTTACCAAGCAGATGTCACGGTCATGGAATTTGCTTTCAATAGTCAGGCATTTGCTTTCAAGTCGGGGAAATTTGAAAATTCAAATTGGTAGACACCCTGACCGCACAGGCACAGTGGATTACATGGGAACCATGCGGGAAAGCTGGAACTGCAGGGGCAAATACTCCTTAGTCTGGCGGCAGACTTATGCAACCGACTGCCCTTGCTTGTTTGCTGCTTGCCGTGCAAGGCCTGACCTAATAAAAGGCTCAGATGCCACTAGTTCCATCTGCGCCATCAGTGCTAACGAATAAATGTCACAATAGCATGACGCTGACGATGGTGGAAAGAGTTGCTATCATTCGCCAAATTAAAGACCTCAATACCTCAATCCGATGTCGTTTGGGAGTTTTCGCTGAGTTGGGCGATGATGAGATTGCCTGTGGGGTACCCGAACGAGTGCAGGTAAACGGTGACTCCGATGAAGCGTTGCCCACACCACTGTTATCAAATGCTGATTTAGTGTGGGTCGTAACAGCGCTACAACCTACAATTATAGCCAAACACTGGCTCAAATACAGGCCGACTTGGTCGTCTGGGATTATGTGTGCGTTTAGACGTGCATTGATAAGTTTTTCCAGCCACAGAACTAATGAAGATGCTTTTTTTTTACAGTGAGGCCTTTTTCTTTCGGGCTCTCAATTATTCAGACTGTCAAATGAATGGTCCGCTGTAATGTAAGTGTGAAAAAAAAAAAGAAAAGTGGACGAAAAAGTGACGTGTTGCTGGCAGGGACTTACTCTCCCGGGTTTAAATCCACATATGGACCCCATAAGGCAGAAAGAGGATGACCGCCACTGTGGTAGGTCAGTTGGTAGAGCTTCCGACGTGTTATTTCGCAATAGACTCTAGATGTTGATGCAACCAAACAGTGTGAAAAATGAACATGGCAGTTGTGACGTGTCATTTACCGCAAAGCACACCCTTTAAGAAATGAGGGTGCTGCTGTTGCTTAGTTGTTGATCTCTGACAGCAGCAATCGCAAAATTATGTTGATCATTGGGACACCTGTTGCTCAGCAGTGAAAAGTGACTGCATAAGCCTGCCCTTGTATCGGGTTATTGAATTATAGGGTGGATAAAACTTATGCGAAAATTAATCAGCCTTTTAATACACTGAGTTCTATAGAGCTTGGCTGAAATATGCTTCTTTGGAATTTGAATGAATAAAGTGTATATTAACGAGCTTTTGCTGCAGTGCACTGTGTGTGGTCAAACAGATGCTATTGAAGTTGTAGGACGCTTATAAGGTGGGCAGCATTTAGTCCTGGAAAGATTTTCGTTTGTTGCTGGACTTTACAGTTAAACGACATGCAGGTTATACAATAACTAATGCAATTTGCAACAGCAGGTGTTGCAGACAATTTTTATGAGTCCACAGGTATGACATTTGCACTGTAACAGAACACTTTAAACTCGCTGAGAAAGGGGCGCAGTATTGAAGTACATAATGCAAAAGCTTCACCTCAGACTGTTGCCCCATGTCATTTTTTGTGAGTTCAAGTTTAAGTTTCACTCTAGCTTTCAGCACAAGCTGAGATTACTGTTTGCATAGGTCTTGTGGAGCGGCTGCGATCATCAAAAGACGTCAGTGTGCTGACCAGTGGAGCTAATATCTTGGCAGCTGCTGCCAAGAGTAAGGACTTCAGTTCAAATACCAAGGTAAGGAGATTTCATCATTAAAAGCTTATCCACGTGCCTTTCTGTGGTACGCACTCAATTGTGCATACCAGTTCTCGCAATGTTCAGCTGCTATAAGCAATGTGCGACCCCTTAGCTAGGGCCTAGGAACAATCTAAAAGCAACCAGATTTAGTGTTGTTCAGTTTTGCTGTTTCAAGCTTTGCATGGCTGTGGTTCAGTTTTGCTGTTTCAAGCTTTGCATGGCTGCGGGCAAGCTGTTCTTATGATCAGGCAATCGTGACAAGTCAGGACAGATGAGAAGGTTCATTGTCCACAAAATACTTGACAGTCGTAAAATGTCTAAATCATTTCAATATCAAGAGCACTGTTTCAGGAAGCGTAAGAAAAGGCATTGTCCTAATCAGAAAAAAGTGTAGATGAAATTTTCGCTCAGAAAATAAACTTATGGCAAATGCAATTTTTGATCTTACAGTAAAGAAGAACACTGTTCATAGACGTGTGCCTTGCACCATGTTATAAAAAAGTTACCATGCACTGTTAGACAATCCACTTTGCAAGACTATAAGTGCTCCAAATTGACGGGACACTAGAAAGATACACACGCACAGAGCTACCGCTTGCTGTGTGTGTATCTCCCTTCGATTTAGTGCACTGTCCAATCTACAGTCTTGCTTTACCAACGCGCCCAGACCTCAACCTCGGCACTTGGCAAGCTGTGTGTGAAGTTGGATATTTCTTGCTTGCAGTGTCTCCAGTTGTGGCTGCGTGCAACCAAGGACCTGGTGACAAAAGAAGAAGCTGGTGTGGACGCACTTCGGGCCATCATACAGTGTCTCCATGTGTAAGAGGCTCAGTGGCTAGTAGCGAGTTAGTCCATGTTAACACTCAGATGTGGAGCTTATATTTCGCATTCAAAGTGGGTGACATGAAAAATGTGCTTGTGAAATAGGCAGTTTGGGAAAACAAACAAAATTAAGCCTGTCAGGTTGGGGCATTTCAAGCTCTTAATGGGATTGTGATGTGTACCTAGCTAAATACAACTTTCAGTGTTGTGTTTATCTTGAAAGTCAACTGCACTTGGTTCTACTGAATTTTCTCATGGCTTCGCTTATTTACACGTGCATGCCTTTTTAGCCTTTGAAGGTTTGTGCCGTACTATATGTGCAGTAGTTCTTGTCTTTCCTGCTTGGTCTTTGTCATACGGGTACATTTTTGACCTTCCGCTTGAAATTTCACATCATAATGACGATGCATGCTTATTGGGAGGTATGTACACCTCCTAGAACAGCGCTTTGAGATAGGTATCGGACACTTAGAGCTGTAAAACACTATGTCTGCTTAGGCCAGGTAGTTACCGCAGAGCTGAATCACGAGATTGAAGTAACTAGAAGAAAAAGAACTGGGTGGAGCACATTCGGCAAGCATTCTCGAATCATGACTGGTAGATTGCCAGTATCCCTCAAGAGGAAGGTATATAACAGCTGCATCTTGCCGGTACTTAGGGAGCAGAAACCTGTACGCTTACAAAGAGGGTCCGTCTTGAGTTGAAGACGATGCAGCAAGCGATGGAAAGGAAAGTGATAGGTGTAACCTTAAGAGACAAAAAGAGCGCAGGGTGGGTCAGGGAACAAACCGAGGTTTAGGATATCATAGTTGAGTCAAGAAGTAGAAATGTACATGGGCTGGGCACTTAGCGTGTAATCAGGATAACCGCTGGGCAATAAAAGTAACTGACTGGATTCCCAGCGAAGGCAAGCAGGTGAGGGGGCGACAGAAAGTTAGGTGGGCAGATAAGATTAGGAAATTCGCAGGTATAAAGTGGCAGCAGTAAGAAGGGACCGAGTTACCTGGTGGAACATGGGAGAGGCCTTTGTTATGCTGTGGGCGTAGTTGGGCTGCTGATGATGATGATGTAAATGTACAAAGGTATGAATTTCCTAAATTCCCTAGCTGAATTTCACTGTTCAACTGGCCAAAAATTGAATGTGCAGAACACTGGTGCGTTGCGCCAGGTGATACAAGCTTCGGTACCAAACCATCAAGCAATGGCGGAGAGCAATGGGCTGGAAGCTTCAGAAGGCTGCGCGTAACCAATGAAACTGTGGACACTCTTGACACAATCATGTGTGGTGATGGCGAAACTGACGGAACTTCGAAAGTGCATGTGTCTTCAATGCTCACATAGTCAAAGTGATGGGGCTTTCCGCGGACGCTCTCCACAAAACTGCGACCGATGCAATCATAGACGGCAGCAAGCTACTTAGTTTTGAAGGCACGTGTGTGGCCAGCGCACGCAGAATAAAAATGTAACTACCATCCGCCGCAACTGTTGCAAGCACAACCGTGGTCACTGCAAAAAGGATCATCAATAGCTCTTACAAACTCTGAAGGTATGCGGCTAATTCACTGGTACATTAAAAGTGATATAGGCGTAAAAAAAGGCACGAAGCGTTTCGCTGTTAATGTCAATCTTTGTTTGTGACTGTGGTTGAACAGAATGAAAAAAACTGAACAGACCAGCATTTTTCAGTTGGCCTCAAGCGAAGCTTTGACTGCAGTGAAACATATCCTTCCCCTCTCCCCATCCGGCTGTGGAAATCTCCTGGTTTAAGAATCCTTGAACTTGGAAGGTATACAGGGGCGGTGGAAGTTGCTTTCAGTCTTTATTGGCACTGCTGTTAGCTTATTTATCACTGAAACTCATAAGGTATTCTTGTTCGCCTTCATCATGGAGTTCACTCTGCTTGCGGCAGCCTCACTCAGAGAAGAAGCCACGTGCTTGCCAGCACAGGTTGTCACTGTAAGAAGACAGTGCAGAAGTGCGTTCTGTGTGTGCAGACGACAGTAAGGTGCAGTGCATAGACCCGTTTTCCAAGGAATGCCATGCTCTGAAATGCCAATGAACATTTCGAAGTTCTGAGCCGTGCTTAAATCAAAGTACTGTTCCTCTTCCTTACAATTTTTTCACAATTTTGTGCATTTCACCCGTTCAGTATCCACAGTAAAGTAATTTGACTACCTGCAAACCTTTTTATAAAGAAAGGTTCATTGTGCGTACTTGTGCCAAAAAGATGTGTCCTGTGCAGGCTGACACCCGGCAGTGCGAGCATGTCTGACTGGTGCCAAATTGGGCTCCAGTGCCTGCTGTATCCCGAAGTGCGCATGGAGGCCTACGCTGCCCTCTGCAGCCAGCGGAAGGCGGCTTTGACACCGCCCCGCCGGGGTGTGGATGCTCCTGCATATGTGGCCATAAAAGACGTAAGTGGCTGCAAGCCAGGTCAGGACGAGAGGATTTCTGGGCTAACACTGCGACAGGCGTGGGAAAAGACTTGGCATGCAGACACGAAGAAACGTACATCTGTCACATATATCAGGAGTGTTTGCAAGCTGAGCAAATTAAGAGACGTAGAAGACAGCGGTGGCACAGCAAACACAGTTAAATGCGCACTAAACATTCTCACAAGTGAAAATAGGACTTGATGTCCTATCTTGATACGCACAATCTATTATCTTCGAAGCAGCATGGCTTCCGCCGAGGCTTATCTACAACAACTCAGTTAATCGGATTTGTTCATGATCTTTCAAAAACAATCAATTTGCGTGGTCAAACTGATGTGGTATATTTGGATTTCGCAAAGGCATTTGATAAAGTGTCGCACTCAAAGCTCCTGTTTAAAATTGACAAAATGTTTCAAAATAATCACTTGACAAAATGGTTTTCATCCTATCTCAGCTGCCGTCAGCAGTTTGTTCAAATAAAAATAAACAGTCTAGAGCAGTTGCAGTGAATTCTGGAGTTCCCCAGGGGAGCGTGCTGGGTCCCCTTTTATTTTTGTTATATATAAATGACCTACCAAACCGCGTTACGGTCCCGATAAGGTTGTTTGCCGATGACTGTGTTGTTTATAGTAGAATCGAGACTGAACATGACCAAGTTAATCTAAACAACAATCTTCAAAGAATAAAGGATTGGTGCGAAGAATGGCAAATGAGTTTGAACACAGAAAAAACAGTCTTTATGACTATAACTAGAAAGAAAGCACCTCTAGATTACAACTACCAGATTGGCAATGCTTTCCTCAAGCGTGTACAAAACTATAAATATCTTGGGTTATGGTTCACGCCCGACCTCCGGTGGAACACTCATATTGATAATGTATGCTCCAGGGCTACCAAGGCATTGTATAGCCTTAGACGTAACCTTTATACCGCCCCATCTGATATAAAGTGTCTTGCTTACAAAACTCTTGTCAGACCTATTATCGAATATTCTAAAATTGTCTGGGACCCTTACACAAAGACAAACTGCAATAAAATAACAAAAATACAGCGACTTGGTGCGAGATTTATTTTTAATAAATATAGCCGACATCATTCTCCTACTGAACTCTGTAAAAAAGCTGGACTGGATAGTCCTGAACTTAGGACGAGGATTGAGCGTCTGAAATTCCTCTTCCAGTTAATTCATAATCAATTTAAACTAAACTATTCAGATTACTTCCAGGTCAACACACAAGAACACTCCAGACATCGCCATAATATGTATATACCACCCCTAGTCCCACGTAACGATTGCTTTAAGTTCAGTTACTTTCCACGTGCTATTGAAGATTGGAATATGCTGCCAGAGTCTATAATTGGTTGTTCCTCGCTTACATCATTTGAACAGAATCTAAAACGTTTATTTTCCGAATAACAGTGACATATGTTTTTTTTTTTTTGCGTGTGTGTGTACTTTTTGTTGGTTGCATGATCCTGCAGTAGTTGTCTTTCAAATCTTCAGCGCGGTGCAAAAGTGCCGCCTCAAATGCGTCATGTGCTGTTCTGCGCGTATGTATTGCATCGCATGTGTGTTCCATTTATGTATGTTATGTATAACTTCGAGTTGCTGGTCACAATAATACCGAGAAATTATCTCGAGACCTGTACGGTACTTCTGTTTTGCAAATAATTGTTTGTACTTCCACCCTGTAACGGCCCACTTCTGGGCTAACAGTATAAATAAATGAAATGAAATGAAATGAATGAAATGAAATGAAAAATGAATCCAAATAACATTCATAAGAAAATACTTCAAACGTCTAAATGCAGTCCCCAAACTCAGTAGCGTTCCAGCCACACTTGCCGGGAGTGGCATCCATAATGAAGTGTTCGTGTATGATTGGTGTGGCGTCCAACGCCTTGTCATGCGTGTTGTGTCGGGCTCGCTGTCGCTGCTCTTGATGTAGTCTTAAGGCTGTCATTACTCAGGGACAACTCTGTGAACTACTGGTTGCCGGATTTCCAGTCGTCATGGCCAACATGAAATGTAAAGCCTAGGTGCCTCCTTAGCTGGTGGTCAAATTAGCAAGTAGTCCAAGTGACGACGTAGCACTCCGGATACTGTCTAGTAGTCTGAGCTACTCTGCCAACGAAAGTGGAGCATTCCAGGTGCTCAAGGGATCGCTGTGAAGAGGAAACTGCGGCCCCATTGTAGGCTCAGTTGGTTGTTGCCCGCCACAGACTCTTGGTGCTGCATCTCCGAACCTGCTGCTCTCTTGCTTCCAGGCTCCTTCAGTCTTTTTTAATGCCCGTTTTCTCTTCCTGGGTTTTCGGCCATGGCTCCGGTTGTTTGCCTCAAGCCCCCCTCCGATGATGCCTTTACTCATGACTCTCTTATGTCTGTGTTTGCACGCCCAGTCTTTTATGATAAATACGTACAAACTAGCTCGGCTCTCTGCTTTCTAAGCTGCGTTAGAAGGATCCGAAATGATAACATTACTGATAGGGTTTTGTGTCAGAAGAAGAGGGCTCAGCAGCTACAAAGCAACACAGATTTGAACTTTTTGTGTTCATAGGTGGTAGCACTTACACACCGCCAAAAGGAGGGAAGTTAGATTTTAGGTCCAATGTAAATCTCACCAGGACACGAAAGTATTAGTCCTTCTCTATACAGACGGTAGTGCTGCTTGAAGCTTGCCTAAGATCTCAAACGACTGTAAACGCTCTGCCTTCCTTTAAGACGTACCAGAAGTTTTCCCTTTCACTACACTGTGCTTCTGACCTCTACAGTTGTTGAGGACTGGTCTCAGTAGTTGTCAGCTGCTCAGTGCAGGAGCTTTACTGGGCCACTTTCGAACCCATTTGTAATGAACACGAAAGGGATGCAATAAGTGGTCATTATACCAATATATATGGACTCACCCTGAAATACAGTAAAATCTCGTTAATTTGAACTTGGTTATTTCGAAATCTTGCTTAATTCAAAGGATTTCTGCGGTCCCATATTTTAAAATGTATGAGTGGATAATTTGAAGCAGCTGCCGGCACCAGTCTGGTTAATGAAAATTTTGGGTGCCATGTGCTAGTTTCACATCCCAATTTCACCGCGGATCCGCGGAAACAACGGCCATTAATTGCCACAAGGCAATGAAACGTATCGATACTAATGAGTGCCAGCTGAAGCACCTCAGTCTCGCTACTTCCAGCGAAGAAAAAAAAAAAAAACGGTCTCGGGGGGGGGGGGGGGGGGGGTCAATTGAGACGTGCGCCTGCGGAAAATGAGCTATGCTTCACTGCAACACAGTGGTGACACGTGGGCATCTTATTGCATGTTTCTCACAACGTTAGCCGGTCATGGTTTACCCATTGTTTCTGGGATTGTAAATAACTTAATTAAGGACAGTTCAGCAGAAATTGCTATGTATGCGGACATTCAATTGCCGGTTGCTTTAGCAATTTGTGTCTGTGCACTGCTGGTGGAGTTTTTGTCAGCAACACCTACTTGGAAAACTAAGTTCGAAAGTTTCAAAGATGATTTTTTCTAGCCAAAATACATCGTGAGCTTCTTCATACTGGCCATTATTAAATTCATAATTATAATAGAAAGAATGTGCGAATGGTCGCATGATGACGTGCTGACGTAGTGAGGAGCAGGTGACATGCTTCCTGCGTGTCACTACTGTGTTGCAGTGAAGAGTATTGTTTTTTTTCAGGCGCACATTTCAGTCACGACTGCGTTTTCTTTCTTTTTTTTTTTCGGTGGCAGCAGTGAGGCCCGCTGTTTTTCCATGTTCGTGGCAAAATAAAGACCAGTTTTTGCTGGAAAACATAACCTTTGGAGCCGCAATCTAGCCGGCACAGCAAACGTCGAGCGCCGATTACTTTGAATAGTTCTCTAAGCTCCTGGCATCCCACTTTTTGTATGTTCTGTTATTTTGAAAACCTGCCTAATACCAAGCTTTCTCGCGGCCCCAGTGACTTTGAATTAATGAGGTTTTACTGTACATGCACTTAGCTAAGTCATTCTTTTCTTCTGCACATTTTTATTATAGTGCTAACAACTGCTTTGATGACAATTCTTAAGCCTTTTAACATCTCGATGTCATGTCCTCTGTGTGTTTACGAGTGAATTAAACTGCCTTTACGAGGAATCGACACCGTTTTATGGTACTGCAGCATGTAGCGGATCATGCCTGGCGAACTGCGTCCCTCCAGACTATGGATGAGGGCAGTGATTGGCCTGTTCATTCAAAGAAGCGCTGACAAGATTTTTGCATGCAACGTGTACTTCTCAGCGAAGCTTGATGGTCGGCCTTCACGGCAATGTGCTGGGCTCTTAGGATGTCGCCTACGAATACAAGCAATACGCGCTTGCTGCCACTGCGTTGACACTTCTCTGTAATGGCGGCACTTTAAACCGCTGAGCTACTTTCATGTCTAAGCAATGCGATGCACTCTTGGTGGTGGTGAACTTGCGAACGGCAGCACGGCACACTTGTGTCGCCGTCAATCTGCATAACCACATGCACAGTTGAGCAGGTAGCTGCTGGTGCTGACAATCAGGTTGTCAGTGATAAGTTGTCATGACAAGTTCTTCACCGGCTGCCGTGTGGCCTTTGGTAATTTGTTTTATTGCTACAGTCGAGCGGAAGTCGTAAATTGATTGACCAGTCTTCGTCATTGCTGAAAGGATGAAAGCCTTTTGCAGCACATTGTGGCGTCATTGAGTTGAGACACGTAGTGAATTTTGATACGACGAGAAGTTATTGTGGCAATCGTTCTCAGCTTTAGAGGGCCTGTTATAACTTTTTTGTGCTCGTATGCACCATACGTTTACGAACACTTTGTCTGATGGGTTAGTTGCAAAAGTAGGAGGTTTTTAAATATGTGCGCTAAATGAAGAGGCAGTTTCGGTGGCTAGCATAGGCAAATTGTAAGTAATAAGCACATCGAAATTTGCTTATTACTGATAGATCGTTATACAGTCGAGCCCACAT